GCCTGAGAGATTGCAGAAAAGAGAAAGGGGCTGTGAGAGTCAATACGGGGTTTAATTTCAAGACAGCAGGATAGCTGCAGTGGAGACCTGGGGGTGACTGGGACAAACGCTGAGAGACTTGTGTCTTCCCAAGGGATAGCTGGAAGGGCCAAGTGCCAGGCTTTTATATTGACAACAGTGCTCGAATTTGGCTTACAAGACCATGGAATAAATAATACTCTGTATGAAAGGTGACCCACAAGCCCCGTGGCCTTCCCCTTGCACCAACTGAGATAGCTTTGCACCCAGAGATCCTTTCCCAGATCATCTTGATTGAGGGACCTAAATGTAAATGCATTTGCAAATCACCTGTGTGATTCCTCCTGAAGCTGAATATAAATTATAGCCCACAGTCAGGTAATAAAGTCTGAAGCTTTATATATTCAGACACTTTTGGCCTTTTTAGTAGCAGCCCATGTCAGGCTGCTTGCTAGACGCTGTTCCATGTAGCTTGTGTCTGATAAATGCAAGTGCCGCCGTGCAAGCACACGGCATGAGCAGGATTGATTAGGAATTTGTCTCCTGGTGTTTGCTGAGAGCTTTGGCGACTACAGGAAAGCAGGAGGAAAATAGCAGCGCATTATTCCGTTTCTCGATGCAGGCATTGAAATGTAAAAGCAGCGGTACCGTCTTCGTACCTGCAGGAAAGGGAACAGAGTAGGGGATAAATGGCACAAAAAGGGTTTGAAATCTGCCGTGGGTGTTGCGGGGACGTGAGAAATTTGGTGATACTGAGGAATCTTGCTTCCCAAAAGAGCATGGAAAGCACCATGTTCAACAGCAACAGCTCCTGCTTCCCAGGGACACAGGGGTCAACCAGGAGGGACCCAGGTGCCTTCTTGCCCCACTCAGTTCCTCCATGGAGCCCCCTTGGATACGCAGGAGCAGCAGTTGGATCCTGCACGCCTCTCCACAGAGGCAGGGGGCTGCCTGTGATTTAATCAAACTCTAGCCGTAATTAAAGCAAAGCCTATTTGAATGCCTGATTAATGCCTTGGCGGAGTGCGAGCTGCCGCCTGTTCGCTGCAGTCGGAGGTGGGGAAACAGCTTGAAAAAGGGTTGCAGATCCCAAATGCAGTTGTGTGTCTTTGCCAAGGAGATTTATTGATTTAATAAAGGCCTCCCTAGCAAGGGTGTGAATAAGGGGGGCTGTATTTAAGGGATAAAATAATTGCCTGGGCGAAAGGTTGGGTTTGGTCCGATCAGGAGTGTACTAACTTAAATGTGTATTTGTGAGTATGTGTGTATGATGAGGTGCTTGGGAAAAAAACGCACATTATTTTGTATGTTGTGCAACTCATGAGTGCCTGGAGAATCATAGAATCATAGAATCACAGAATGCTTAGGGTTGGAAGGGACCTCTAGAGATCATCTAGTCCAACCCCCCTGCATACGCAGGGACACCCAGAGCACGTGGCACAGGACTGCGTCCAAGCGGGTTTTGAAGATCTCCAGAGAAGGAGACTCCACAACCTCTCTGGGCAGCCTGTTCCAGTGCTCTGTCACCCTCACTGTCAAGAAATTTTTCCTTAAGTTCCTATGGAATTTTTGGTGTTTCAGTTTCCGGCCATTTCCTCTAGTCCTATCAGTGGCCACCACTGAAAAGAGACCAGCACCGTCCTCTGCACTCCCTCCCTTGAGGTATTTATATACACTGATTAGATCCCCTCTCAGCCTTCTCTTCTCCAGGCTGAACAGGCCCAGCTCCCTCAGCCTCTCCTCATAGGGCAGATGTTCCAGGCCCCTGATCATCCCCGTGAGAGAGAGAAAAGAGGTCACCCAGCAATTCCAGAATATTTGTGAATGTCTTTGATGTTTTTTCCCCCCAATCCAAATGCTCAGCAAATGTTTTCCCATCACTTGCTTGGCTCTGCTGCTGTTTATTTGCGTAGCAACGGGGTCCGCGCCTCCCACGGTGCCAGCCTGGTGTGCTGCTCTGCCAGATGCTGTGCCAGCTCGTCCCGAGCCACCTGTGGCCCGCGTTGCTGATCCAGCTCTGGGCATGTGGAAAGAGAGATGGGGACCTGGATCCCCTTCCTGACACCCTGCCCGTGCCACTGCTGTCCCGAAGGGTGAGGATCAGCGTGCAGAGCACAGCTACCCTCTCGGTAGCAGGCAAGGAAAGCAGTAAGCGTTGGGTTTCACAGCAAAGCAAGGACCTGCTGCTCTAATAAACTATGGGGAAATCCCAAAGGGGAGCGCAGCGGAAACATTCATCTTTGGTTCTTCAAGACAAGCCTCCCCGCAGGCAGCACGAAGATGTTCTCCGTCCGTGGTGATGGAGATCGCTATCACTGCCCGCATTCACGGCGTCTGTGCTTGGTTCCAGGGACATCTGACGCTCAGTATTAATAACCGGGATGCAGATGCATTTTGCAAAGCTGGCTGACCTTGTTTTTAGACATTGTCATCAGTCTGGGGAGGAAGGCGATATCTCAGAAGTGATAGCTCGTTTGTGAGCTTAGCTGATCCCAGTTGAGGCAGGTCCTTGTCCCTCTCCTCGCTGGCAGACCTCACCTACACTTCATTCTCTGTAATGCTGCGGTGGCCTGTCCTTGTCTCCCGAGTGGTTGTGCTGAACAGTGGTGCCTGCGTTGGTCTTGTTGCGCGGGTGTCCTGCCTCTGCTGGTGGCTTGTAGGAGATAAGGGCCAGGATCCTGCTGGGTGCTGTTGGCAGGAGAACAGGAAAGCTGCGCTGGGGCTACAAGAGTGGTGGGTCCGCACTTGGTGGACCCAACCAGTCATGCCCAGCTGGTCTGGGCAAAATATTTTTTTAAGTGTTTGCTACCGTGGGAGGAGTTGGATTTCCTTGTGAGCCTCTGCTCTACATAAATATGGGTAACTTGCCCACATGCTCCTGCACCCTTTCAATCCAGAGGAACAAATCTCTCTGAACACCTCTGGCAGCACGAACAAAGCAGGAGCGAACTCTCTTTAGAGCATAACTAGCTCCACAAAAGCTCTGTGCTTCCTCAGAGCTGAAAGCGGGGAACCTCGTTGCAGCCGTTTCTGCTTTGTGATCATTCTCTGTCCTATCTCAAGTCCAAACCATTCAGAATTTTCTTCTTCTCTGTCTTCAGGAAAAAAAAAATCCTAAAGCTGAAATATTACTGAGATCGTTATTGTTTGGACCTGCAGGGAGCAATTTCTCCTGCAAGCTGGTTGCCCTTGCTGAGGGCTGTAGTCCTTCCAGCTGAGCAGCTCTGGTCTCAGCACCTTGCCGGAGGAGCGTGCAGATCTCATTTGGTTGAGGACATGCAATACTGCAAGGTGCTTAGGGCAAGTTTCCCCTCACCTGCTCTCCTGAGTGCAGCTGAGCAGCCTGCGCGGTAGAGGTGAGGATGGGGCTTTTTGCAAGCCCCTCCTGGGACTGCAGGACTGTCCCAGGCAGCCTGGGCGGATGCTGTTACACATTGCTGTGTGGCTGTGCATCAGTAATTCATGTCTCCTGCTGGGGTTACTGCCTCACTCCTTGTTCCCCTGTGTCAGCCACCCCAGCCTTGCCTGCATTTGCAAAATCCAATATACGCCTGGGGAAATAGCTTGAAGCTCCGAAGCATTCAATTACGTGAACCAGCTCCTTCCAGTCGGTCACTGATCAGCGACGATTGAAGAGCCCTGCCCGCCATAGCAAAGCCCACCATTTGCAGTCCCTTGCAACAGCCCGTTTCATGCATCAGTCGTTGCAACTGTGAGATACACCAGGGATCTGCTGCGTGAGCTTGGTCGTGATCGACATAGCCTTTTGCACTTGGGTTCAAGGTTCCTTTGGCTCATTAAAAGCTATGCTAATTGTACCAAACCCCCTTTACTGCAGTACTGAGTTGAGCATGCTGGTTTTCCACATCACAGTCCTATGGGAAGGAGGAAAATTGATTTATGCCCAGCATGTTCTAATTAATAGGTGCCAGGAGGTGGAGGAAAGATGGTCGTGGCTGAACTGCCTTTCCATGTGAATGCAGAGATGGAGGCAGACAGAGATGACATTTAATAGCATCGAGGCAGTTTTGGCTATGGGCATCTTAGGCAGGTAGTTTGCAGTGTCATGTTCTAAAAAAGTAAATAACTTTCTGAAGTTTTTTAAGCTTAATTTAAAGGTTGTGCTAAAAATAGCCCACATTAGGTAATTGATTCTTTGCACTGTTTTATTTATGACAAGTGAAGAGGTGCTCACATGCCTTGCTGCCCTCTTGCCAGCCAGCGGAGTCCAAGGTGCCATTCTGAGGCTCAGTCTTGGTCCATGGCCCCAAGTCTGTCACACATCTCATTTGCACCTTGGCAAGAAGCTGTGCTGCTGACCTTTTTCAGTAGCATAGCTAATGGCATGCTGGAGAGATCTTCGAGAGTATTAGGTGGGATTGAAAAGGCTGAGGGCAGCTTCTTCATGGTGAGTGAGTCAAAACTGGGGAGCAGCTGCCTGCCTCAATGTGCCTCAATTAGACAGTGTTGCTGCTAAACAGAACCGCCTTGGAAGCTAGTCAAGAGCGAACAGCCCTTCTGTGTGGCCGTCCCGGCTTCCCGCGTGTCTGCTGGGACCGGCTGGGCAGCGCATGAAAAAGAGAGCAGCTTAAAGCAAGCAGAGGAGACGAAAGATGGGATCCCAAAAGGCAGGAGCGCTGCTCTGCCAGCTGCAACCCCAGGAGGAGAAGGGAAAGATGTGGCTGCCCTTGAGCATCTATTGGTGCTTGTGAGCTGAGAGAGTAGATTGAGCCAGTGGCTTGGGAAGCGAAAGGCCGCCCGCCTCCTGCTCAGAGGGTGAGCATGTCCCCAGCCCGTTGAGATATTTGGGACTGGGCGGGTTGTACTTTCAGAAAAAAACCAGCGTTTTGGAGCCCCTCCTAGGAGACCTCTGCGTTTGCAGGCTGCTCCAAGGAGGCCCTTTGGGGGTGGTGGGGATACGAGTACCTGGCTGTCCCCTCAGTGCCGCAGGGGCTCACAGGCCTTGTTCTCATTGCTCGCAGGTGTACGAAAGTGGCAGCAACGTGGACCAGTTTGTGACCCGCTTCTTGCTGAAGGAGACGGCCAACCAGACCCAGTCGCTGCTGAGCTCCGTGGAGAGCGCTGTTGACGCCATCGACGAGCAAACCAACCCCACCAGGTCAGCGGTGCCCCCTGTCCCTCAGTATGAAACAGCTTGTTTTCTTGCTGGCCGTTTCTCTGTTTTATTTGACCGTGGGGGCAGCGATTAGGAGGTGACTGGTCCTCTGTTCCTTGCCTGCTTGGCTTGTGTGCAGTCATCTTCTGGTAGGACAACCCTTTGTTCAAGCTGATCAAAGCAGCCCAATAGGAAGCTCAGATGACTTGGTGGGCTCTGCAGGCAAAGGCCGGAAAGACTGAAGATGCCAAAAACTGAGAAGTTTTGGTCCAAATAGACACCGCCAGCCCCATGTTTTGTGCATGCCCCAGGCCAATGCTGCCTGTGGCTTGCAGACTCCATCGGGGCAGGTCCCCACTCTGACTGTGATGAGTGTCCATACAGGAGCAAAGAGGGAGTCCAGGGCTTGCACCTGGTGGCAGTGGCCAGCACGTAGGACAGCTGTACAATACTGGCCATTTCCCTGCCAGGACAGTATTTCTCTCAGTCTGTTTTATTAACAAAGAGTGATTTAAAGGAAGGTCAGAGGAGCCTGAATCTACATCTTATCCTGCCACTCTCTCTCATTCCTTGCTACTTTGCAAGCATTGGACCTTGGGACACTTTTACTGCATGCCTTAACTGGCAAAGGCGATAAAATGCAGTGACCCGTGTTTTCCCTGAGCGCCTCTGAGTTCGGCTCTGATTGCTTGTGGTTAGTCTTGTCTAAGCTCCTCTCCACAGCCCTCTCCCTCCTCCCTGGTCCTCAGGCCCTTAGCACCTACTGAAGGTTTTTGGTGGCACCGCGAAACCCTCCTCCCCCTTTTGCCTCTGTGCTTGGCCTCCTTGGGTGCCCTCAGGGCTTTCATCCACTGTGCCCTGTCCTCTTTCTCCTGTCCTGTGGGTGCCCTCTCCACTCATGCATCAGGCAGGGCAAGCTGCTCTGGCCCGTTTCCCAACTCAGGCACCGAGGCAGTGGGAATGCAGCTCAATGCCGGCATCGGTCCTGGCACAGCCTCCCAGGGGAGACAAACGACCTGCTTGGCTTTCTGTTGGGCTTTCTCCTGGCCTTGGAACGTGCTCCGGGTCAGGAGAAGGCAGAGAGCAGCTCCAGGATTTCTCTTCTTGAATGTAGTCAGAGCTAAAACGCACAGGACATCCCGAGCCTCAAAACGTACAGCCTCCCGTGCTCAAATGTCACTCATCTCCCCGGAGCCTCGAGATCACCGGCTGTAAGCAGGACACGTTTCCATAGCAACTGTTTCAAGGACTATCAGATGCTCATGAAGAGAATCTGTTTCCTGCCATAGCTGAAAAGCAGAAGGTCGCAAGGGTGCTTGTCGAGTATGTTATTTCCAATTGGCTGCAGAGCAGCAGATGGGAGCAGGGCCCTGTCTCTGGGGTTTGAAGTAGGGCAGTGCTCAGCCTTGGCTGGGGAACCGCATGCAGGGGCTGCAGTCAGCGGCAAGATGAACTCTCCTGTTTTCCCATCTCTTTGTGATCAGTTTTAATGCTCCCCCCCAGGAAATACTCCCCCACAAAACCTCTACCAAAGCAGTGCCATCACACACTTGTTGCCAGTAGTTTCATCAGGGGCAGGCAGAAAAAGAGAGAAGCTTCTGGCCTTGCCTGCTCTTGCACTTGAGTATGGCTCACAATTGCTCAGGCGACCTGCGCATGCGGGGCCCATAGGAAAAAGCTCTAATAAGACTTAGTCACAATGAAACGGCTTTGCCTGTGCATCTGACATCTTAATGGGCTTGGGCAGCTCAGCCAACATCTTGGCAGCTTTCTTAGGCGGGGGCCATTGGCTTCATGGACCCTCAGCAGGCTCCTCTCCTCATTTCGGTCTGCCCCATACCCTCACGTAAGGCACAATGCAAAACATGTGGGAAAAGAAAAGTAATGCAAGTGCAGTCAAAGGTCCTGGAGCCTGGGCACAATGGAGCACAAAGACAGTGCCTTGTGCAACCAAGGGACCTGAGCCACCTCCTTACACTGCGATTAAGAAGCAACCCCATGTGTTCCTGCCTAATTTCCTGCCTGTTGACAGGAGGCTGCTCAGCGCTGGTTATTGCGCGCGCTGCAGCGAGGTACGTGCGTGCTTTTATTGATGGTCCCACTGCGGGGCCACTTTTCAGGACCAGATGTACTTGTCACATCCCTGTATCAGATGTCGGGCCCAGAGCAGGTAGTGTCCTGCCTGGGCTCGGTGCTACTGCTTTGGAGTTCAGCAGCAGCAGAACTGCTAAAATGTGGGCACAAATGAGTGCCTGAGTGTGGGGATGAACACGTCATTCATGGCCTGTGAGTGTTTCTGCTCTGCAATAGCAGCTCTTGCACCGCAGGCAGTACCATGGCAAAGGCGGCCACGGGCTCATGGACACCTGGTACGACAGCCCTGTGCCCACCTACCCTCCCAACAGCAGGCTCCTGCCCAAGGAGCACCGGAAAAGCTTCCCAACAGGTAAGAGGCATTGGGGGCCAGACTAACGGTCACCTCCGTGTGCCCTGCGGGGAAAGGCCACCCCGCCATGCGTCCCGCATGTGGCTCTTCTGCTTCTCTGCTCCCACCAGGGTCCCCTGAGGCCAAGGAGGAAGGGCTGGAGGTGCAGATTAACCGTCTGGCTGAGCTCATCGGCAGGCTGGAGGACAAGGTAACTCAGGGGAGGTTTGACAAGGCCGGGGCTGCTGCTAGCAGCCAGACTGGGGGTTACGGCTTTAGAGGGGTTGGTGCTGGCAGCAGATATCGAGTACAGGGAGAGATACCTGGAATTTGATTTAAACAAGAAAAAAAAAGAAAAAAAAACACAAGAAAGAAGGGGGAATCTCCAGCCAAGGAGATATCACTCCACATAGAGCCTGAAGGGGAAATTGTCTCCCCAATCCCATCATGGTGGAAGTGCTTTTGGGGCAGGCAGGGAGAGGGCTGCAACTTCTCCCTCGGGGGGGAACCTTTGCTGGGGATGAACAGTCCAACCTGCAGATGCCTGGTGCAATGAGGTACAAGTTCAGCCTGTTTCACACTTGTACTTTTTATCGCATTTGATTTTTTTCTCTAGACCCTCTGGTTTGACCTGCAGCAGCGCCTGTCAGACAGTGAGAGCACTGCTTGCGCGGTGAGTAGGGCCCGAACTCCAGCCTTGGTGGCTGTGATGGGCAGGGGTGATTGCGCCGGGGCCTGATACGGTCCCTCCTGGTCCCGCAGTACCTGCTCCTGGTGCGGGACGAGATGACGGTGGCGCACAAGCACCTGGGCGAGTTCTGCAGCTCCCTGAAGCAGTACCTGAAGAGCGTGGCCGGCGAGCGGGACTGCTTCCAGTGAGTAGCCTGACTGCGGGGACATGCCCGTGGCGGACGCCCCAGGGCACCACAGCCGCCCAGCCGGCCGAGTGCTCAGCCCCTGCCCGTCTCCCGCCAGCGTGACTGCAGTGAAGCTGCCGGATGGTGTCACCTTCATCGTCTACGAGTTCTGGGAGACCGAGGAAGACTGGAAGAGGTAGGAGAGGTGCCCACAAATGCAGTGGCACCAAGACTCGCCTGATGTGAAGCCCCCAAGGGCAGGGAGCTTCTGCTGCTTGAGGACAGGTCCCCACCACCATGGTGGGAGCCCCCCCATGCAGAGACTGGGGCTGGGGAGAAGGCGCCAGGTAACTGTCCCCCAACCTGGGCCACAGGCACCTGCAGAGCGCCACCTGCAAGGGCTTCCAGCACGTCAAGGTGGACACGCTGAGCCAGCCCGAGGCTGTGTCCAGCGTGGCCGTGCCAGGTAGGCACAGAGGGAGACGGGACTGCTGAAGGGGTGTCCTCGGGCTCGATGGTGCAAGTGACTGGTGTCCACTCCCCTTGGCAGCCGCCTGGTGCACCCTGAGCAGAGACTGACCTCGCCGCTGGAGGGGACATGGTGGCCACGCCAGCACCCTGGGACCCACTCTCCCTGTCATCCGGCTGCCTGCCCGTCCCGATGGCCGTGCTGTGAGCGTGATGCCGGAGCACCCTCCCCGTGCCAGCGGTGTCAGTGGCGGGTCCCCCCCCAGCAGGGGAACCCGGCCCCCCCCC